TCTGTGAGACTCTTATCTCCAATAAACCACTAGAAAACCAGAAGTGGCGCTGTGGCTCAAGTGGTAGAATGCTCGCCTTGAGCTGAAGAGCACAGGGACAGCGCCCAAGCCCAGAGTTCAAGCCCCACATGCATACATCTTCTGTACTCATTCAGCTTTCACTGGGTATCTGTAACTACTGTTATATGGAAGGAAGTCCAACAAGCATAGATAGCCCCAGCCATGTACAAATCCAAATCCCAAGCCCTCTACCTCTCCCTTGCCTGAGAAGCCAAATGGAAAAAAGGCTACACAGTGACTCACAAACACACCGAGCTTTTTCATCCAGCCTCTGCTAGTTTTTCTTTTTTTTTTTTTTGTCGGTTGTGGGGCTTGAACTCTGGGTCTGGGTGCTGTCCCTCAGCTCTTCAGCTCAAGGCGATCGCTCTACCACTTGAGCTACAGCGCCACTTCCGGTTTTCTAGTGGTTTATTGGAGATAGGAGTCTCACAGTCTTTCCTGCCCGGGCTGGCTTTGAACTGCGATCCTCAGATCTCAGCCTCCTGAGTAGCTAGGATTACAGGCGTGAGCCACCAGCGCCCGGCTCTGCTAGTTTTTCTAGCTGGATTGTCTTGGATGAATTATTGAATGTCCCTGGTCCTCAGCTTCTCATCTGTAAAATTATATATATATAATTCTATCCTCACTTGCTCAGACTGACCTGCCTCATCTCCCTAGTAGCTAGGGACTACAGGCATGCACTAACACACCTGGATAAAATAGTAGTTTTTCTTTCCAATAATGCTGAAATATCAGCACATACCAAAAAAAAAAAAAAGGCACCTACTGAAACTCAGCAAATGTGTGCTTCTCCTTCTGTCTTTGCCCACCACCACGCAGAGTGTTCCTGGAAGGCCTCCGTGTCCAGACACGGGTCCAAGCATTAGCTGGAGTGTGGACCTGGGACGGAGGTGAGGTAGTGAGGGGGTCTTCGTGCTCTCTGTGGGCCTCAAGGAAGCTCGGAGAGGCTGGATGGCAGGGGCAAGACTTTTCAGAGCACCTGTCCAGACACGGCCGATCAATATGCTTCCTCACCAACCAATCCCAGCTTCTTCCAACAGAACCCCGCAGGGCCTGCCAGTCTCCAGGTTATAGCTCTGTACCGGGCTGCTCTCAGGCCTCTGCTCCACCCAGTCCCTGTGGAGGAGCAGGGGCAGCCATGAAGAACTGAGGGTCTGTGGCTCACTTGGTCCACAGCACTGCCCTTAGCTAAGTGACCTGTGCTAGGACCCTGGAGCATGAGTGCCTTAGGTTCGCAGGCTGACTGGCAAGTCAGTCCTCTCTGAGGCCTTTGGGGATTACTATCAGGGTGATTACTACCTGGCACCCCCCCCACGCACCCACACCCAGAGACTCCATGTGTTCATCCACTAAATATTTATTGGGTGCCTAATGAGAGTCTAAAGGAGACAAAAGTGAACAAAACAAACACTGCCCTCATTGTTAGAGAAGCAGATCATCTTGCAGCTAGCAGCATCTTGGCCTGTGGGTAGTGAGAGGCAGGAGAGGAAGTCAGGAGGGAGAGAACAAGGGGAGTTCTGGAGTGGGAAGTGCGGAGGGATTCCCAGAGAAGATGGACCTCCGGCGGGCACCGGTGGCTCACACCTGTAATCCTAGCTACTCAGGAGGCTGAGAGCTGAGGATCATGGTTCAAAGCCAGCCTGAGCAGGAAACTCTGTGAGACTCTTATCTCCAATAAACCACCAGAAAACCCAAAGTGGCGCTGTGGCTCAAGTGGTGGAGTGCTAGCCTTGAGCTGAAGAGCTGAGGGACAACGCCCAGGCCCAGGGTTCAAGCCCCATGACCAACAAAACAACAAAAGAAAACAAAAACACCAAAAAACAAAAAAGATGGACCTCAGGACTCAGAGCAGGATGAAGGTGCTGAACCTGTGGGAGACCATGGTCCCAGAGGACTAGCAGAATCTTTGGTAGGGAAGGGCAGGCAGGGGTTCTGAGCAAAGGAAAATAATAGAGCAGAGTAGCCTGGGATCTGATCATTGTGCTTAGGCCCTACCTCATCCCATCCTCTAGTGCTTGAACTCTGAGCTGTGCCCCATCTTCACATCCTTCCTGGCCCCCATTAGTGGGACCTCAGGCCCTACCAGGCAGCAGTGAAGGAGAGGCTCAGGGAAGAGGAAATCTGCCCAGCTCAGGCAAGGCACTCTATTGATCATACAGGAGGAACCCTAGTGGGTGACTCTGCTCAGGTTCCAGGCTTGGCCCTCAGGGGCCAACTATAGAGTAGACACCCAGGTGACTTTTTCCCCAGGTCCAGCCATAGGCCAGAGCCAGTTGTACGATGCCCAAAGCTGAGCATCAGAAGGACTGTGCCCCAAGTTTAGGATTCTGGATGGTTATGATTCTGGGTGATCATGGAGAGGTCTTCTTGAGTTCGCAGCTTTCGGGTCTCTGTCCCCTCTCTTGTTCAGGAGGGGTCAGAGGCAACACACCAGGAGAGAGAGTTTCTGCTCTGGACCTCTCTTCTTGCCTCAGTGGTAGGAGAAAAAGAAAGGGATAGAAGATAGGACTCAGAAGTCAGGAGACCTGGATTACAGATCTCCTGACAGTGCTGGGCCATAGAAAGGCAGGAGACAGCCAGGTCTCAGGTTTTTCTAATCTCTGTCTCTGGTGAATGCAGGAGCTGGGTTGGCTTAATGTAGGATGAGACTGCCCTCTGGTGGTTTGATTTGGAGTTGCTGGATGCTGGGACCCTGACTGTAATGTGGGAGGGAGGCTGCAAGATTTACTAACTTCACTTCTCCATTTCATTTCCTCCATCAAGTTTTTTTTTTTTAATTTGTATCCAGGGAATAGCATCTGCTAGGCAGGTGCTATACTACAGATCCACTATACCAGCCATTTTTTGTTCTAGTTATTTTTGGCACGAGACCTCCTACATCATCCATGTGCCCCTGAACCATGATCCTCCTATTTTTCACTTCCCACTCCAGCTTGAATGACAGGCACATAGCACCAGAGTCAGCGTCTTCCATTGGTGGCAGGCATGAGCCACCAGCATTTGTCAAAACTGGTCAAATGTTTTTGTCGTTGTTGTTTGTTTGGTTTGGGTTTTTTAGACCCAAGCATTTCATTGAATGTTTTTACCTTATTCTGAAAATAACAAGGTTTCTAATCACTTAGAAACACGGGCAAAGATGGAAGACAGAACATAATACAAAATGTCTAAAAATGTATGCAGAAGCTGGGCAGCAATGGCTCACGCCTGCAATCCTAGATACTCAGGAGGCTGAGATCTGAAGACCACGGTTTGAAACCAACTGGGGCAGAAAAATCTCTGTGAGACTCTTATCAAAAAAAAAAAAAAAGCTGGAAGTTGGCTCAAGTGGCAGAGCAATCGCCTTGAGCACAAAGAGGCTCAGGGATAGTGCCCAGGCCCTGAGTTCAAGCCCCAGGACCAAAAAAATGTATGCAGAGGGGAGGCCAATGCAAAATCATGTACCGTAGACCCTCTGTATCCATTTTGCATTCACTGATTCAACCAACTGGGAATGGAAAATATTAGGAAAACATTTGGTCTGTACTAAGTATTAGACTTTTTTCTTTGTATTTATTCAATAAACAATACAATGCAACCATTATTTGTGGAGTATTTATGTTATATTAAGTGGTATAGCCATGCGTCAGTGGCTTATACCTGTAATCATAGCTACTCAGGAGGCTGAGATCTGAGGGTTGCAGTTTGAAACCACCCCCAGCAGGAAAAGCCTGTAAGATGCTTATCTCCAACAAACTTCTCAGAAAAAGCCAGAAGTGGCACTGTGGCTCAAGTGGTAGAGTGCTAGTGTTGAGCAAAAAGAAGCTCAGAGACAGAACTCAGACCCAGAGTTCAAGCCCCATGACTGTCAAAATTAAATTTTTTTTAAATTTTATTTTATTTGTGAGCATACTGTACAGAGGGGTTACAATTGCATGGGCAGAAAAATTAAATTTTTTAAAGTAATATAAATCATGAAGTATACAAAGAGGATGTGGTGAAGTTGGTTGCAAATACAATACCTTTTATGTCTTCATTTTATATTTATTTTATATAATTTATTTATTTAGTGCCCGTACCAGGACTTGAACTCAGGCCCTGAGTGCTATTCCTCAGCTTTTTTTGGTCAAGGCTGGCACTCTGTACTTGAGCCACAGCTTCACTTCTGGCTTTTGGGGGGTGGT